TTAATATAATCAAGCCAGTCAGAAGAACAGAGCTTCGTCTTCTGGGCTAAGAATGATGGGTATAACCCTTGGGCTTCTTCTGGGCGTGGGGCAGTGTGCACTATCTTTGTAGGCATGGAAGATGTATACCATGCTACAAGAAGATTCTCCTCCAGACTACGCCGATGGTCAATGGGCACATAAGGATAAACAGCTGAACTTCGAGCATAGGAGGGAAACTCTGAAGGGTCAGTGAACTCAACAAAATGGTGGTTGATTCGCTCCCTTAAATCAGGAGTCTCAGGTACTGACCAGTTTGTCCAGTCAGAACTTCCAGAAGAGCCAGAAGAGGAAGCAGCTGCAGCTTTATCCATACAGAAATTTGCGAAGAAGAGTTGTTTCAAATCCATATTTGTAATTTTACGAATCAGAGGTTTGAGAGCAGATTGTTCGAACTGTAAAGGTAGGTCAGAAGGGAAAATTCTTATGTCTTTGATTTTAGCCTCCTGAATCAAAGGATTAAGAGCAATGTGTTCGTAATCCAAAGGTCGGTAATTTGCAAAGGCCGTCCATGACCTGAATATAGAAAGGTGGGTAAAGGTGGCTAATAAATGCATGCTTTCGACGAAAAATAGCATCGACATATGACTCTTCGTATGCTTCATCATTGGAAGAAAGAATTAATTTGGCCATGAAATGTATCAGTCTGTTCAAATAATAAGACAGTGAAAGTACTTAAGGATCAAGACGAGAGTATTAATACAGATGGTGTGTGACAGTTGCATTTCTGGGAAGATGCAAAACCCATGCACGTTCTAAGACGTAGAAAAGGGACTCTGATCCACTAATATCACCAAGTCTTGGGTATATTAGTGCGGGGGGTAATGTTGGTACACATTTTGTACTAAGCCAGTGACAATCTGACGCGTGGCGAAGCAAGGGTAATATGGGGAGACCAGGTAGGTCTTCGATCCTGATCATACACGTGGCAATTAATATTGGTTGTTATAAGATCTGAGTAGTAGCAGATCAACAAAGAGACGTACAGTGACGTGGCTTCAACGGTTGCTCACATTTCAAATTCGAATATAAGGGGGAAGCCTAACTGCAAGTGAAGGCGTAGTGGAACTACTTATAAGGTAGCATGATCAGCAACTACGGAGGAGCAGTTCGACGGTTTGAAGTACAATCGATGGTTCTTTCGGAGAGTATAAATAGCAGGAAGGACTTCAGAGAAGGGGACGAAGAAAAATCTAAAGAATCACTTTACATATTCCAGTGTTATTTCCTGTCCTTTATATTCCTGTATTTAAGTTTCTGCGCTGCACTTCATTTGTAGGAGTAGTTGTCGAGTATATTGCCGCTGTAATTCTCTACGGAACTGAGATCATTGTAAGTTCTTTTTATACTAATGAAATACTCCAGTTTAGTTAACTGTTCTTATGTTCAAATTTTCTGAAGTTAAATTACCAGTAAGCCACCAGTAAAAGTCCTCTTTATTGAGGCCGAAAAAACCATAACACAATCGTCTGAATAATTTTTGCAATTCTGTAAGGACTGATTGATCCTTGCTGGCACGCTCACAATTACGAAAGCAACCTTCGAAAGCCAAAAAAGCCAACATATACATTTATAAGAAGCCTACAATTTAAGTGATTCAATTTAGTTAATAGGCTTAAGGGTATATGTGTTATGGACCTAATATGTAGATACTAGTTGTATAATTTCTATTTCTATGAGGGGCAGAAATAGAAATTAAAAAATATTGGTTAAAGTTGGTTTTCATTCCTTTGACTTCCACAACCTTTCAGTTTTGAAAACCAATTACAACCTTTAAAAGGTTATGGTCCCTATTCCTTCCCAAGTGAAAATAAGAAAACTGTCATTTTTTTCTAAATCCTCTCAAGGAGAAACATAAGGCACGAAAGGGGAAAGGATTAGAAGGCAATAACATAATCAATAACAAAGAGTTCATTGATAATCACGCTTCCGTTTAACCGTTCATCAATGGATTCAGGTATGTCATTTTGTCTTGATTTCTTGATAATACACATGGTAAATGATCCAAAGTGTAAGGTTTATATTCTGAAATTTATGTTGACACAAACCTTCTTGCACAATTTGGAGAGCACTGAATTAGAATGAGAGGTTCATCACCACATCATCGCATGCAAGGGGAGCTCGCTCGATTCATAGATTGGTCCAACTCGTAATTCACTTCTGACTTCGTGTTCGATATCCCAACCGGTTACAATATCCAATTGCATCACTAAATATTTCGTCTCTAAAAAATGATTTAGTCCCTAACATTTTCTCTAAAACTTTAATTTATTACAGTGAATATGTGTAAGTTATAAGTTTCTATGTATAGATCGTTTATGAAAAATATGGACCATAAGAATAATTTTGAAAATAATTTATTTTTAAGACAAATATAACAAAATAATATAATTATAATTATCGGGTGAAGTCATTTTTTTTAATATTTTTAATGCACGATTTATGCATAAAAATTTACAAAATCAACAAATCAGATTATTGGAGAACCCAATTCTAATTCACAAATATAGACCGGAGGAAGCTTTACGTGCTCAAAATTTTAAAAAATAAATAAAAATTTGATAACACTGCATTCATTCTTAGATCATACGTCACCAAGATGGACACAGTCAGTGCTGCCACTCTGAAAAGAAAAACCGTGGACTAAATTGAGACCATGGTTTTGATGAGCCAAAAAAAACCTGAGAGCTCATCATTCTCAGTTTACGATATTTGATAGTGTTCATGTTGATTGCTCAAACACATGATGATGTATTGATAATTAGTTTTGATTCACTCAAATGAAATAATTGAAAGATAAGTTAAATACCTCTAAACCAACCTGCAATGTTAACTGTATTTTTTTGGGGGGGTCAGTTTGAAACTGCCAAGTTTGGCATCCCCAAAAAATCTAAAAAGTCAAAAAGTCACTATCCTATTTAAGTCACATCATCTTATTTAAGTCACATCATCTCTCTAACACATCACTTCAAACCCAACCCAAACCCAACCCATATTTCATAAAAAGTCAAAAAGTGCACTTATTTAGTCTTCCCAAACTTGGCCTTACAAGGATGCCAATAGATTTTTTGATTTTTTTTTAACGGCAAACAAAGAAATTTTATCAAAACTGAAAAGATACAAACTAACTTAGGAAAAAGTAACATCATTGTTAAAACTAATGTCAAGTTTGGCATGATTGAAAAAATATAAAAAGACAATTATCTTATTTAAGTCACATTATCTTATTTAAGTCACATCACCTCTCTAACACATCACTTCAAACCCAACTCAAACCCAACTCATATTTTATAAAAAGTCAAAAAATACACTTATTTAATCTTCTCAAACTAGGCCTAAGCATCCAGACTAAGTTGATGATCAAAGTAAGACTAATCATGTGCATCTCTAAAGCCTCTCCCAAGTGTTAGAGACGTTCCAACTCAATACACCTCCGTACAGCTCCAAAAACAAAACAAAGATTACACCCTTCCACCTAAACAAAATTTAGGGTTGGTTTGGGGTGCCCTAAAAAAGTGCACTTTTTGTCTTTTTATGAAAAGATGTGCAGAAAAGTAGAGAGGTGATGTGATGGAAAAAAGATAAAAAGATAAAAAGATGGATTATATAGTGTACCCCAAACCAGCCCTTAATCTGCAAAATATTGAAAAGAAAATCAGTTATAGTGAACTAATAGTCCTTAGTTGTAGCTTTCAGCCAATAGATTTTTTTGATCTAATTTTGCTAGGAACCACAGATATGTTTGGTTTATCTCTTAAAATATGTTTTTGGAAAAAAAATTTTAAAAATGTTTAGTTAAATTTTTTTTAAAAAAAATTATGAAATCACTTTTCTGTCTATTATACATCAATTAATAACTTTTTCTTTCTTCTCTCTCTTTTTCAATGATTTTTTCTTTCACACCCATTTATTCAATTATAAAAAAAATATCAAATCATCTTAAATTCTAAAACTCTAAAATTATTTTCAAAATATACAACTAAACAAGTTTTAAATAGGGGTGAGCATGGTTCGGATTGGATCGGATTGGAGTAAAACCAGGACCAATTCGTTATCTACGGTTCTAATTAATAACTTTTTCTTTCTTCTCTCTCGTTTTCAATGATTTTTTCTTTCGCACCCATTTATTCAATTATAAAAAAAATATCAAATCATCTTAAATTCTAAAACTCTAAAATTATTTTCAAAATATACAACTAAACAAGTTTTAAACTCTTTTTAAAAAAATATTTTAAAAATAATATGTCAAACTAGAAATCAAACAAGGCCTGCATATAGTTATGTGTTTCACACCACATAGGAGAATTGTAATTTCCTTATATTTAGGCTTTTTCAATTCCTGGCAGAAATGAAAATTGAATTTTATTATCTACTATTTGTTGGTAAATAGAAAGGGTATTTTGGTCACCACAAGAGGAGCTGTCATTCAACAATTAACAGAGTAGGTAAAGCAATGAAACAAGACAATTGATATTCCCTCCCTGTCCTACTCCTACTCCTACTCCTACTCCTAACCCAACCTTTCCATGGGTCTCCATCCATCTCTCAACCTGCTGTCTTCCTCTTCCATTTCCACAAAAGCCCTAACACTGTTCCCACCCAACTCCACTCCCCTTCTCCACGTACAAACACCAATAACAATAAGAATAACTAATTAAGGACAAATAATGATAATAATAATAACAATAATTAGATTTTGAATACATATTTTCATTTTATTTTATTTTTTATATATGAGAACAGCTAAAAACCTCTCAATGAACATTTTTACACATTTTCACATATTCTCATATATTGTTAGATACTTTTTATGTATTTAATTTTTTTTTTTACCTACATCCTAACATTGATCACCATTCAATTGGTAGCCCTAGTATTTTCTTCTATATATTTAAATACATTTTCTTACACAAATATCAATATTAACCACAGCCCTAGGCTGTCATTCGCATTTTCCATTATTTATTAAGAAATAGAACTCTGTTTTGCACCCCCTATTTTGGGGAAGAAAAGAAAAGAAAAGAAAAAATCTCTTTTAGCATTATCAGAATTACACTCTTCCAAGTCTACCAGAAATACACTCTCCCGAGATTTTCTTGTTTGCTCAAACAAAGAAACTCCACGACCAGAGAAGACAGTTCCCTTCACTCTCTCTCTTCTCTCCCATCAATCTATCTCATCATCACCCCATCATCACTTCTTCAGCCTAAAATCTTCCTCTTTTGCTTCACTCACACTCTCTCTAACCACAAAAATATGGTAATCTTGTTACATTAATTTTTCTTTTCTTTTTTCTTGGAGTTTGGGGTGTGTTCCTCATTCATCAGCTAATCAAGTTTCTCTCTCTTCCCCTTAGTGTTTTTTTTCCCTCTCTTAGGTGCTAGACTGCTAGTACATACACACCACAAAATGAAACCCTAGAAAAAGAGAAAACACATCACAGACTCCATACACTACTCTACAAGATCCAACAAAATTAAAAACCCACAACAAACAAGCAAAAAAAGAAAAAAACCCAGATCACCATTTCAATGGATTCAAGCTCAACCCCAGAATTTGAGAGTTCCAACTCTGAAAACACTGGCAACAACAACAGTGTCAACAACAACTCAGCTGCTACTTCTTCTTCTTCATCGTCTTCGACCCCGAGCCGATACGAAAACCAGAAACGCCGAGACTGGAACACCTTCGGCCAATACCTAAAAAACCACCGTCCTCCGCTATCTCTCTCCCGGTGCAGCGGTGCTCATGTTCTGGAATTCCTCCGATACCTCGACCAATTCGGAAAAACCAAAGTTCACACTCCCATTTGTCCCTTTTACGGCCACCCCAACCCCCCGGCCCCGTGCCCGTGCCCTCTCCGCCAAGCCTGGGGCAGCCTCGACGCCCTCATCGGCCGCCTCCGTGCTGCCTACGAAGAAAATGGAGGAAACCCTGAAACAAACCCATTTGGTGCTCGAGCAGTCAGACTTTATCTCCGCGAGGTTCGCGATTTACAATCTAAAGCAAGAGGGATCAGCTACGAGAAGAAGAAGCGAAAACGCCCTCCACCGCAGCAGCTGCCGGCGCAGCCACCGCCGCCGCCAGGTGCAATTTGATATATAATCTTGGTTCATCAAGAAAGCCCATATCTTTATTTTGCATCTAAGCTATAGATATATGAGCGAGCATGAAGGTTAGTGACTTTTTATATATGAAGTGTGTTTCTTTTCTTTTCTTTTCTTTGAGTGTGTATGTACTGTTTGGTATCAGAGAAAACAATGTCTTAGATCTGATCAGACACCATATGATTCTTCTTTTGATGCAAACAGTAGTTGTAGTAGAAGCACTAGTAGTTGTTAGAGAGACTATAGTGATAGTTGTACTACTAGTAAATTAAATATGTTGTTTGGAGTAAATGAAATTGCAGTCATATATTTATATATATTGCTTGCATGTGCTTGAACAAGACTCATCTATTCTAAGCACCATGTCTATTTGCAGATCATGATTCATGAATGCATCAGATATGTATTTCCATTTCCATTGGAAATTAAATTTTATTTTTCAACCCCTGAAATTTTTATGTATGTGATGGTCAAAATTTGATATCTGGAACTGATCTTTCTCTCTGACTTCACTTTTTTCATTTTGTTTTCCACTATCACAGCTTTACTGTCGGGAATCAATGTTGCATACAATTATACTGTGGAGAAAATAAATCAATAAACATTAGTTTTAGACTTCTAGTGCTACTTAACTTAAGTCAAAAAATATTGAGATTATGCAAATAAAATCTAAAAATATAGGCTAATAATCTTGTACCTTTGCTAGTAAAATCTTAGAAGTGTTTGTGTATGTGGATTATTAATTAATGCAGGGTTGGTTCATTGGTGCTGTCATTTTATTTGAAGGGAAGAGTTTTTAAAGCAATACTTCTATATGTACAGAAACCGATCACAGAATTGGTCAAAGAACACTCTACTTGCATAAAATCCGATCACAGAATTGGTCAAAGAAACTACAAATTGGATTTCTAGTGATTAAACATATTTTTTAACCTCATTTAATTTTGGTAGGTTATTTCCTTTGTTCTCGAATTGTCATATCAGTAGAAGATGTTCCCCAAAGAGGGGAAAACCAGTGAGGAAGTTACACTAAGATGAACATTGAAATAATGAAATCTAGTTATGTTTTTCAATCAAAGACAAATATCATTAGACCTCTATTAATTAAAAAAGATAAAATCCAGATCTGATTTTTCCCCCCTCATGAATAAAGATAGCCATGAAAACATGTATGCTAATGACTTTTTATTGAATACAAATTAGTGTGATTAGAAAAAAGAGGTGTAGAGTTTTGAGGGAAGTTTTCTTAATCAATCTGGCCGACAACATTAGGATGATTGGCCAATGATACTGATGAATCCCCTTCAAATTTCTCTTTTTGATGCTATGCTTTGATGGAAAAGTTCTAATTTTATGTGCATATAGCCTAGAAAGAATTAATTAAAGTTGTATCAGATGATTGCTTAGGAACTTTCTTTTCTTTTTAAGTGACTTTGGTGGGCTAAGGAATAAAAGATATATTCAAACTACTAATCATTAATGTTTATCATAGGATTTAGATTAAAATGATTTAAATTCAATAATGGTGACCTCCTCCACAGAAAAGAAAGTGAGAAATGATCAAAGCATTTTCTTGTGATGTGCCATAAACATATCATGCATTATACAATAAACTATGGGCTGATGATACCGGTATAGTATAATAACAAAAGTCTATAATCTAATCGCGGAGTCGTTCGTCGTGATGTTGCAATTTGCAAAGGTATAGTCAGATCCAATTTTTTTTGAGAAATTTCTTTTGAGACTGAATAACATATCTTTGAGGATGAATTCTGGCATATATATGTTGTTCCATATTTTGTGAGTGAGCTAAAAATGTGTATTTGTGATTATTCAGGTTTATTGTTAATTATCTTTCACTTTAAATATATATATATATATATATATATTATGTTTATAATATGGTTATTTGCAAAATTATACCTATTATTATATTACGACAGCTGATCATATAGAAACAAAGGTTTATTTCATGTTTTGGAAGATAAAAATATTCTCTACTTAACATGAAAGTAAGATTTGTATATTTCATTACTATCCATTTGCCTATTCTGTTTTCTAAGTGTTCAAACATATATTTTACATCAATGAAGCTTCTTTGTTTTGCTGATAAAAAAAAAAAAAAGTGTTCAAACATATATTGAGTTGATGCTGTAGCTGAACTTCACTTTGAATGTAGTGATATCATCTTATTTTCTGAAACATATTGCAAAAAAAAAAAAAAAAAAAAAAAGAAACATATTGCAAAAAAAAAAAAAAAAAAGTAATAACAAGTGGGTTTTGATTCAAATTCCAAAGTTTCATCCTTGTGTGTAGTAGTTTTTATTTTTATTTTTTTAAATGTTAATTTTTATTTGACATTTTTCTATTTTTGTTGTTGATGTGGTTTGGAAGGTGAAATTCAATTATAGAAGGGCTTTTAGATATGAAGGTCATTTCATGATGTTGGCAGCCCAACAAATCTTTTTTAATGAATGAATGAATGAATGGAGAAATTGATTTTCTCAGTCAATGGCTAAACGTATTGTGTGTTCTTGGATGAAATCATTGCCTAAATTTAGTGTAGCTTAAGTTTTTTCCACCAATGTGATAGGTTTTGTCAATTTGTCAATCTTTGAATTTAGGAGTGAAAGATTAGTTTTTCTAGACGCATAGAATTCGATTATAGAAATGCCCCCACCCAATGAAAGAAAATTGTTTGATTCTATAATCGAATTCTGTGTATATAGCATTTTTAACAAAGAAATGTAAAAAGGGTTGTGATTCAAAGGATCATGTCAAAGTAGCGGCCACGATTAAATTTTCAACATTTGGAAATCACAGCATAAAGCTGTAAATGCTAATAAAATTTAGGACAAATTATCCCAGTAGTTAATTTGATTTTCGTAGTTCTAATTACCTCAATTATGTTATTCATTTTTTTTTGTATTGTGTCAATTTAGGTCAACGGATAATGCCCTTTAGAAATTGGATTGAAATAATGGGGCATAGCAGTTCATTATTCAAGCTTCTCAAAGTGATTAATTTGAAACATTCCATTCTCTTTTGAATTAACTATTTTACATTTACTTATATCAAATTTCTCAATGAGTATTTTTTAATTCGTCCAAATTGACATATTATAGAAAAAAAAAATTAAAGAATGGAATTGATCAAATTAAAATTATGAAAACTAAATTAATACAAAAGATAAATTAAAAAGGCCACATATGTTATTTGACCTAAAATTTATTAATTTATATAACTACTCGAAAAATATATCGGATATTCAAAGCATGAGCATGAACATGAACACGATTTTTTTTTAAAGAAAATAGTTATCTCGCATGAAGCCTTATCCTGCTAATTAGTCAAACTCAATATAGAGTACCTATTTTCTATAATGGTGCCTTCATTTTGGTGCTTATTTTCACTACCCCAAAAATGTATTCAGTTTATGATTTTATTCTCATTTTGATTGCCACTTATCCATTTCTATATCTGCATTAATTTAGACTCGATCATTGTGTGGATATGTTGCTTCCCAGTTTTCTAATATATAAAGCATGTCTAATAATTGTCTAAAAAAAAAGTTGTCCTTCACCGTGATAGAGATATATGTTGATACAATTAAGATTCTCTACAATAAATTTTACTATAATAATTTTGTTGCAATAATTCAATGACCTATGTTTAAATTTAGGAAATAAAATTACGCCGGTTTTGAGTGCCTGGTTTAAATAATCAATTTACTTCAATTTTAAGTTAAATTATTAAATTATTTATTTTACTAATGAAAAAATAATAAAATTGTTAAAAAAAAAATCGTGACACAGAAATCGGACTCATCGTGATCACATCACTTTTAAAGCATTAAGTCATTTAAAAATACTTGAGAGCACTAAAAGGGGATTATTAAAGGAAGCACTAATGATGTGGCAGTAGGTCCCGCCCACTTTCTATGCCTTATTTTTATTTTTTTATTATTTTTTTTGTCATTTCTAATGTATTAGTGCTATTAGTGATGTATTTTTTAGTGATTTAAATCATTGTTGTAAGTCATTTCATCTGTCATATGCGTGAGCAGGACATATACTATTTAAAATGAATCATGATGCTGATCCTTTAAATCTATTAATTTTTTTGTTTTTTTCATCAGGTAAAATTAGGATTTTGTGGTGTTATTATGGTCCCGTTGGATTTTGATCTCGAGATAATCGGTTGCCAGCCAGGTAATTCACTCCCAATTGAGAAATGATATGGGCAAAAAAAATTAAAAAAAAAGAAAATAAAATAAAACTTTTAATAAAGTGAACCTGCAATTTCAAAACTTTGCAACAATCTGATTTTTTTTTTTAACTCCTCTTGCTCTACCATAGAAGTAAATGTAATGATTAGTGGTTTTACTTCATTCATTGTAATCTAGAGCATTTTTTATTTATTTATTTATTTATTTATTTTAATCAATGAAAAGAAAAAATTCATTGATGTAATATAAAGTAAACGAACTTGTGGGTAAGTATTAATAGATGAACTTATTGTCTAATAGGTTCTATGATAATTAATGATATTTTTTGTCAAATAATATCAAAAAATATCATTAATTGTTAATTTTCAGCGACAGTTTAAAATTACTATAAAAAATGTCACTAATTATAAAGTTTTGTGACAGTTTTAAAAAAAGTTATCAATTTTCAACTTTTACCAACAGTTCAAAAAATTCATCATAAAAAACGTCGCTAATTATAAACTTTAGCGACAATTTATAAGAATCGTGACCAAAAAATCACTAATTGTCAATTTTTAGTGACATACATAAAAAATTATCACAAAAAGTAATTTGTAACGACAATTTTACTAGAACTTATTTTCAATAGCATTTGACAAAAATTAAGTCCAACTATTAGGACTTATTAGTAGTTTATCCCAGAGTAAATGAGTCACATAAATTACATAAAAAAGCAAGAGGGATAAAGCAGGAATTAGCATCATTGCTTTAAGATTATATCGCAATTAAGTTGGCACATGCACTCCAGCCAATCATATGTTCCTGATCTTACAAAATGTGAATTTAAATAGTCCCAATGTTTACACCATCTGAGTTGAGTTATTTTCAGAATTTTGCTAAAAAATGCAACAAAAATAAAAATAAAAAATTGATGGAGCCTGAATGAGGGAGCTGATGGCAGTTGGCCTAAACTTGCTACTCAAAAAAATTAATGAGTTTTACAAAATGATTAAATTTTATTTGTTTACATAAGGAATTGATTTTGAATAAGTTTTTAACAAATCAAACTCGAATAATAACTTGGTTCAATATACAATCCTAACACTAATT